TGTTCGAGTCAATCCGCCTTGAGAGGCTGGTGTTTTTCACGTCGTCCAAATTCGTAGAGTAGGTTATGCACAGCCTGGCGGACTTGCTCCGAATCCGAGGCTGAAAATAAATCACCGAAAACAGAAGTGAGGCATTAGAGCTAGCAGGGCTACGGAAATGGAGAAAAAAAGGCCAGTCGTGAACACATGGTTTTACCTGAACTTAAACGACAGGGGCGATAGGCGGATACCCTATTGATCTGACTCGGAGAAACAGAAAGGTCCTTGCCTTCGACTGAATTAAGTGAATGCTACCTAATGCCTTGGCAGTCCTCAGCAGTGCACTCAGCATGACTTTTGGCCGCACAGTCTTACGCAAATATTTCCAATAATCACTCGCGGCTATCGGTAGCGGTAGGAAAAATTACCGATTTTAAGGTTGCAAAAATTCCTATCACAGAAATCCGAAGAGCAATTGGCGAGCATACGTATATATTCAATAAATTCTCACCAGGCCGTTACATTTACATGGGGGAGTAAGGTGTAAAACGCAAAATTTTAGGTAAATTACGTTCAACGTTACAGGCAAATTAGTTCAGAGGGGCTGGGGGCTGGGGGTAGTAACATGCGGCTAATTAAGCAGCAATTAGGGAGAGGAGGGAAAAGGGAGAAAGGAGACTCGGAAAAAATGCCGGTAGCAAGGTGGCCGTTGACCCTCTCCCTAATTGCCGCTTAATTAGCCGCTTGTTACTACCCCCAGCCCCCTCCTCTATTCCCTGGACTAATTTGCTTCAAACGTTGAATGTAATTTACCTACAATTTTACCATTGACACTTTACCCCCCTCCCATATAAATGTAACGGCCTGATGAGAATTTATTGAAAGTATATGTATGCTCGCCAATTGCTCTTAGAATTACCGATTTGCCTTTTTGACTTGCGGAGCTTCTGGAGAGTTATTTGACAGCCTCCACAGACAGTTTTACCTTTGTGATCTGACCTTATACACCTCGGGTGCAGAATCCTCTCAGGAATATCGTAGAAAGCGCCAAACCCTGTCTTCCAGGTGAAAAATCATTCGATTGCCAACGAAAGGTTTACCCGAATCACCCACGTTACCGATATCGGATACTCTTGGCGAATTCCAGCAGCAGTTAAAACTCCTTGACGCAGAGGGCTTCTGAGATTTCCGGTTTACAAAAACAACCTTTCCACTACTTCTACTGCTCGATGACAATCCTGTGGCCGTACGAAAGCAGCAAAAAGATGGCGGTATAATGGTTTGCGATTCAATATCGCTATTCAATCAGGTCTCTCAAGACAAATACTGTGTTCTTTTTCAACAGAAGTAACGCCATATCTTGAGTTTTGTTGAAGATGGAACGACAGTTTGCCGACAAAAAACCTGGAACTGGCAAGTTGTCCTTTGGTTGTCGTTTGAGAAAATACGGCCAACCACAGCGGTATGTTTGACTGCATATATTTTCGTTCGAGAGAGTGCGACAAAGTTAGCATGGAAAAATCAAATATGCGACATACAGGACGGAAAATGCAACAACTGGCGTCATGGACTGCCGTCGGTAAAAATTGCCATTTAAGTTTACTCAAAAGGGTGCTTACTCGGGCCACCGGTAAATTATATGATAATAATTACAGTAGACCCTAGGCTAACGAGTTTACTCCGTTCCGACACCGAGCACGTCATTTGAAACGCTCGCTTCGCGAAATGTAGCCGATCAAACCGCACAAGTTCACTGATTGGCTGCAGGCGATTGAGGACCCACGCCCTGGGAGCAAGAATCAACGGCGGATACGAGCACCCACACACACACGCACTGACAATTCGTTAACTGAGCGAAAGCTCGTCAATCGAATCAAATTTTCTGCAAGTGGCTAGTTCCTTACCTGAAATGTTCGTAGATGGAGCTGCTCGTTACCCGTGACTCGACTGTATTTTAATAGCAATAATAACAGTAGTAATAGCAGTATTAACAATACTACTACTAACATTAGCAGTATACGAATCTTAGCAATGGTAAGCGGCGGTCCTATTAGTAGTAGTAGTGGAAGTAGTAGTAGTAATATTAGTATTAGTAGAAGTATTAGAAGTAGTAGCAGAAGTAGTATTAGTATTAGTAGTAGTAGTAGTAGTAGTAGTGGTCGTAGTAGAGGTAGTAATACTAGTAGTAGAAGTAGTTGTAGTAGAAATAGTAGTAGCAGTAGTAGCAGAAGAAGTAGTTATAGAATTAGTAGTATTAGAAGTGGTAGTAATAGAAGTAGTAGTAATAGAAGTAGTAGTAATAGAAGTAGTAGTAGTGCTAATAGTAGAAGTACTTGTAGTAAAAGTAGTAGTAGCAGAAGCAGTAGTAGTAGTAATAATGATAGAATTAGTAGT